TGCGTTCACCTGCGCGCAAGGTTGCAGAGAAGCAAAGCAGCGGCGGCGGCGCGCGGGTTCTTCGCGTGAACCGACGACGACGACGACGACGAGAATGTAACGACACTGGACGCGTCGCGATCGGCACGTGTTGCGACGAGCGAGCAGGCAAGCGAGTGTGTGATTTGTCGTTCGTTCGTTCGACCGGTCAACGCTGGTTATTCTCTACATAGCCGATATACAGAGTGGCTAAGATCGAGGAATTAACCGATTGAGCAAACGAACGAGCGAGTGAGCGAGCGAGCGAGCGAGCGAGCGAACGGACGGGCGAGCGACCTGACACACAACAGGTAGCGTACGCGCATTCCGTCCTCGAACTTTGCGCGCAAGCGCGCGCTCACGGAGTTTGACTCGCTCGGACTCTCCGGCGGTATCGAAAGTGACTCTTGATGCGTGCAGCCGGCCGCCTCCGAGAGAGCTTTTGACTTCTTAATGAAAGCGAGAGAGCGAGCATTATTTTGACCTCATATCGCGTCGCGTCGCATCGTGGCCGTGCCGTGCCGTGCGGTGCCGTGCCGTGCCGTGCCGTGTCGTGCCGTGTCGTGCCGTGTCGTGCCGCGTCGTGCCGCGTCGTGCCGCGCCGCGCCGCGCCGCGCCGTGTCATGCCGCGCTGTGCAATTGTCGAATCCGTGAGATCGTCAAAGAAAGAACGTCCAAGCGTTGTATATTTTCACGAGAATAATATTTAGAAGTGAGTCTATACTCGCGCGGCGTCAAATCCGTCGAGGTGACGTTCCCACGTCCACCGGATGGCAACGACCTTCCGATCCTCGAGTCCGCGGCACCGCCGCGTGGATGAACTTTTCCCTTCGGATCGGGAATTTCGATAAACGCGCGAATTCAAACGGGAGGACTGTATACTTTATAAAACGCGGGCACCCGCTTCTTCCGAGGGGGCGGTCGTCGCGCGCTGTGATTCCTGCTTGGACACTTTCAACTCACGCCGCTGACCTTTTGCGCATTCGACCGGGCACTCATTTTTTTTTCTACGAGCATCTTTTCTTTTCCTGTCCCAGCACGATTTTCCGCGTCGTGCCGCGCG